CACACACACACACACACACCTTATCACCTGAATCTCCTCCTAGAGCACCATTGAGTTCTTTGTAACCAAATGTCTCTCAGAGGGGGGAGGGGCTCCTTATTTTCATCTAAAGTAACAGACAGAGAATCAGCACTTTGGAAACAGGGCTGAAACAGAGGGGATTATGGGCCAAACACTTCAGAGACATGTTCTGTATTTATCTGAGACCTATAATATATTGATGAAAAACAATATAATAGGGGACCTTTAAGTACAATATGTGAGTACTTCTCCCACCTCATATCATTCTCACCCCCTCCAGATTCAAACGTATTTCCTCTTGAAGGAATGAATTATTAATGGTTCATTTTGTACTGAGCCTAAAGATGCACTAGCCTCACGCCGCCTTCGTTAATGCCTTGTCATACGTGATGAATTGGACATTAGGGGTGCTTAATCTCGCTGCGTGAATAAAGACATTAACATGAGCTACTCTCGGCTCTTTGCCAGAACTGAATCCATTTAGTTTAGTTTTAATTGGTTAGAAATGGAATCAATCAATCCCTGTAATTACAGAAAACAAACTTAATATAATATAGTTCCACGCAAATAAGCTAATTTTGCCTCCTCTTTCGTTTTGTAGCATTTTCAAACTGGTTTCCTCACTACATTTCCCTACACGGGAAATTGAACAAAACATTAAAGGAACATTGAGTCAATCCTTTCTCACATGATTTAAAAAAATCTGTTTCTGTTTTATTTATCTACCAGATATCAAGTTAGTACACTTTTTTTCAAATAGTTAATACTTAATGTATTAAAATGACAAACTAAATACAAGAAGACAAATAAACTTCCAGGAAGCAATAAGCTTGATCCTGATTTAATTGTATTAATATGCAAATAAAAGAAGCAAATTGGACATTATTTACAATTTGCAGCCCAAAGATTGTAATGGGATCCTTCCTTGTATGCCATTCTAACCTACAGTCTTCCACATGTGGGGTTAAACAACCTGTTTTATAATCATTTGTGTGCAGATAGGTGGCATGAGTTGGCGGAAGGTGACTCACTTTTCAAGGCAGTCTTTATTATGGCACAGGATCAGAGGCCACCCACTCACAAGCTGGAGCTGCTGAGCTAATAAACTCAACATGCCCACATACCCCATCCATATGAAAACATACACAGCCTATGTCCTTATACTCCCATTTTCTTTGTGTTTTCCTTCCCTTGAACCATCACTTGTTCCTGAACACATCCCCCCCCGCCCCCCCTTTCTTCCTACCCAGGGTCTGTACTGCGACATTCGCCAGCTGGTGCAGTTCATCAAGGAGGCTCATGGGAACGTGTTCCGCAGGGTGGCACTGAGCGCGCTCCTGGACAGCGCAGAGAAAGTCGCCACCACCAAGAAACCCGAGGAGAAGGAAGAGAGCAAGCAGCCCGGAGCCAGGAGGTATTGGCCAATCAGTGGCCAGAAATGGTCTCAATGACATCACATTCTCCAATTCATCTTTTAAAATGACTTTCAATGATCAAGTTTCAATTTTGGAAGGGAGTTTTAACGACCCTTACCTATAGTAAGTGGTTACAAATTCATTCTCCTCCATGATTGGTCCATCATTTCTCCTTTTATACCAAATCTATGCTCGCTTCCCATCACTGCTGGCCGTTTTTATTTTGTGATGTTCCTTTCTGTCCTGTCTGCATCTCTTTTTCCTGCTTGAGTGACTGATTTGATGTTTTATTTTCAAACTGATGTGGCGGGTCGAATACTGCTAGGAGGTTACTCAACATATTTGCCTAATCATGTGACTAAATAAAAGTCACATGCTTACAGACTCTTTGTTTGCCACAGCCAGTTAAAGCACGGGGTAAAGACATGAGACACGGCATTACAGTTTGTCCAGTAAATATTCAATATGGCACCAAATGTTATTAGCAGATTTAGAGTATTTGCAATGGGCAGCATGGTGCCCCCCTCACTGGATCCAGATGTGTGGGGTTTGCACGATCAGCATGATTCTTTTCTTTAGGGAGCTCTGATGTCAAGGGGGAATTTCCTCTATATATTCCAAACAATGGAATGAATATTTTGAATACTAAGCCCAAACTTACTGGAAGTGTTAGGTCCATGCATACATGAAAAAAGGATTTTGCATATTTGGGTTAAAGTTGAACTTTCAGTATGTGCTAATAGATATAGAATGTTGTCTTTATTTATTAGCAAAATGCTGTAAGTTCAACCTTATTCCTGACATTGGAGCTTTATTCTTGAAATGCAAAAACATATATATATTTCTTCAGTTTTTTTTGTTTCAACACTTTTCTGTGCTGAAAAAAAGCAAAAGACTATATACGTAAACCTCTGCGCATGTAAATGCAAAATTGCCATAACAGCAGCATGGTTTTGAGAAGAACTTGATGAAATACATTTAATAATTTAATTTAAATGACTAATTGAGTATGCAAAATGAATTATCGATCAGCAAAGTTAACTCAAAATCGTCCCTTTTTTTTTACTCCCAAGTACAATCACACATTATTTGCATCCAGTGTAAAAAGATTATAATAATAAATAATGAATACTGGTGGGATTATCCAACATTGGGATGGACTGCAGTTACTGCATATTCTAATGTAACATTAGAATATTCCAAATGTTGGCTTTTATTTTTAACAAAGGACACAGCACATACAAGTCGTAATTGACACTCTTCCTGATCCCATTAGAGCAAAATCATTGGAATATTCTCGGACGGGAGAATCACATGTGCAGGCTTAACTGCGGGAGAGTCCCATCGGCGTCTGAATCAGGTGTGTGTTGGGGTGTGTGTGCGCAGGTCAGAGGCGGGTGTGTCCGGGGAGAAGGGTCAGGTGTCCAGTGCTGCAGATGAGTGTCGCAGCTACATCTCCAGTAGACCCCCCCAGACACCCGAACAGTGAGTGTCCACCTCACATCTCCATATAGCTCCATTTCTGTCGAACCCAGGCTGCCATTCCTCTGCTTCAAACAGGAAAAACTCACCCTGTTGCCCTCCCCCCCCTACCCCACCCTTCAATAAAAACAGGCCACAGTGCTAAACATTTGTCTTCATCCTCGTGTAAATCTTCAAATCAACCTCCCTTTTTTCCCTCCAGTGATGAGCAGATCCCCGGCGCTCTGCTGGGCAGGAAGGACTTCTGGAGGAAGATGTTCAAGTCGCAGAGCGCCGCCAGTGACACCAGCAGCCAATCAGAGCAGGACACGTCAGAGTGCACCACCGCCCACTCCGGCACCACCACCGACCGGCGCTCCCGTTCAAGATCCCGACGCATCTCGCTACGCAAGAAACTGAAGCTGCCGATAGGTAAGAGCAGTTATTATGCAACAGTCTTTCAATAGCAAGCGTTATCTTACTGACGAAATCAGGGTCAGTGTCCGAAAAATGTTTTTTTGGGCTTGGTAGCAAGAATCATAAAAAATGTTATAGTGTTCAATCAAAAATAAACTATTAAAAAGATCACATTTTCAAATCTAGACAATCAGTTATTTTAATGAAGGCAAGCGTTTGTGCCTGAACCAGAATTGTGGTCATCTTTAGTTGTGTTCAAGAGGCTGGATTCTCTTACTTAAACTGCACATGCTAACCAGATACAAATCTTCCACTGATTTCAGTGCTTATTAAAAAAGCTTCCAAATCATTATTTGTACATTTCTGATCTGGTATCGGTATGTGTTTCCATGACCATACTTCATTGCATTTGCTGTCCCAGTTCACTCTGATAACCATGACGTGTTTAGTTTGTCTAACACCGAGTCACTTCATCTCTTTGGTCTGTTTTGTGTTCCTTTTTGTGCCTCAGCATGCCGAGGGACTGTTCGCCTACCACTCACTCTCTCTGTCTTACGTATGTGGATGTGGAACCATCTTCATACAGTATTTGTTTCATGTCCGCGTGTGTCTGTCATCTCTCCCTGTGTTCAGTGATACAGGCCTGGGTCAAAATGTATTTGCAAGTCATATCGGATGAATTGGCGTCTTTTATTTGGCGTCCTCTGCAAACACTTTAACAGCACATCTGAGCTTAAAGTGTCATATCAAAACAGCTGAGAAAGCCATGGTTAGGCTTAGATACAGACATCAACGTTTTAAACCAATATGTTGGTTATTCTAAACATAATATTGTAAAAAAGTACATTTGCAAATACTACTAGTCCAGGGTCTTTTGTTTACCTTTTTCTCAAAAAAAAAGCACTACACCAATTTAGTTGTTTACCTTTCTGTATCGTGTGTTACTTAAACTCAGTCTGTGATTTTCAGTTAAAATACCTTTTAATGTTTGTGACTGTACCGATTAAGGATTTCCCCACGTTTTGTACCTCCTTTGTGTGTGCATGTGTACGTCATAACCCAGTGTGTACAATACACTATACATTGTTTAGTTCTGCAGCGTATCTCTTTCATGTAAATCGTTTTTTGTCACGTGTCTCCAGGCAACTGGCTGAAGCGTTCGTCTCTGTCTGGACTGACGGACGGTGTTGAGGACCTTCTGGACATCAGCTCCGTGGATCGGCTGTCCTTTATACGTCAGAGTTCAAAGGTCAGGGGGGGGGCAGCTACCATAACACTGAGTGCTTACAAATCAGGTTGAAACAATCGGAATAAACCATTCCCACTCCCATGCAGCTAAAGTTAGAATTAATATGACGACAAAGACAAATATATTTTACAAATAATGAAATACTCCACTGGTTGGCAACCCGTAACCAGTGGCACACTAGGAATAAGTGGAATAAGTGTGCAAAATATTTACATTTTATTTTCGGATCCTAAACGAGACCGTCTCCCCGTTACCTGCAGAAGGAAGCCATGCACGCAACGCAGCCCCGCTCTCTTTAACTCCAGGCGACGTTCTGCCGCTTTCCTCCGTGGTGCAGTGCTAATCGTTTCACCACGGAGGAAAACACTGCTGCCGCGCCGGCACTTCACAAATTGCAGTAGGCCTACCCAATAAGGAGCTGTACAAATGCCGCAGTGTTTGCGTGGCTGTGTCTTTATTTGAAAGCCCAGTGGCGATCTGCTGATCTCTCATCGAAAATAATATGCTACACAGGGGCGGACTGGCCATCTGTGTGTTCCGGAGAATCACAGAATGGACGGTCGTCATTATTATTATGACGTTTAAACCAATTATTTAAATTGGTTTAAACGGCATCATGTAAATTGCGCTGACAGGTGAAAAAGGTCCACACACTGCTTCCCCGCAGCGAGGCTCCCCCGCCCTCCTGTCAATAGTTCACGAGCGTCGATATTATCCACCGTGATTCTGACCGGCATTGTCAAGTCTAAGAAAAGGACACGCATGATGTCATGGTGATGTCACATGAGTTGTTTGTCTGTCTTTAGGCTTGAAGCCTTCAAGATTGTGAAGGATATGTTCGAGCGTGAGGATGTGGAAAGACTTAGCCATTTGTCAAGTACAGTGTGTAATGCATAGATGCTGTTAAGTGGCATCATGGGAACTGTTTAACCTGTGTTTTGTATCTAGGCCCATTCTATGGATTGCCATATGAACAGGACATATGAACCTCTTCTGCTTCCATTTCCCTTTTCCCACGACTTTATGAAAGGATAAAACCATGACTATAACTCTCTACAAACCAAACTGCACATTTGTTTTAAAGACTGTTGGTGTAGTGCTGTTTTCATGGCATACTGAATTTTGAATAAAAAGGAACACTTTCAAAACGTTAATAACTTGTGTTAAAATCTCCCTTTCAACACTGTACCTGATTGAATTGGAAATGTTCTTGTGACATGTTGTTTCAGCTTTATCTGAATCACAATATATGAGATCACAGTGGGAGCCATATCTCTTTCAGTCTCCATCAGCAGATAGAAATGCAGCAGAGCTTAGAGAGCAGGAACCGCCTGCGCTGGGTTCAGTTTCCTGCAAGCAAAACTAAAACAAGCTTTAAGAACTTTGGATTTGTATGCGATTGCCAAACACCTTACTTTAGTGATGGATTTGTTTGTAAATTAGGTGTTAGCATCCAAAAAGCCTCTGCCATGCCTGCAAAACAAACATGAAGCTCATTTATTCCAAAGGCCTTGCAAAAATAAGTCTCATAATCAGTGACCATAAAGTTGTGTAACTAATGTGTTGGTTTCTTTTGTAGCTCTGACCAATATAGCTCAGTACCTATTTCAAACCAAACCATGATCTTTCCCTAAAACCAAGCAAGTTATTTTTGTGCCAAATATTCCCCTCAATGTTGTCAGGTAATAAAACCAGTTCTTAGCTGGCCCCACTCGGTTGCCTGGCCAGAACCAAGAACCAATCCGTAACGCTTACGTTGGAGGGGGCGAGATTAACCTGAGCAATAACAGTTCATGGGGAGTACCGAGTACGTAAAGTACAGTGACTAGAACGCGACCACACACTTATAAAAAAAAACACACGTTTATAAATTCAGGCAGCACTAACAACCCAGTCTCATGGCATTTCGTGTTATAGTCACGACATTTAAGTTTTAGCCGCAATGCATGTTGGGATTTGGTGTTTATATGATATGAAATCGGAAAAACATTTTAAAAAAATAAAAATAATACTTAATTCCGAGTGTTCTTGCTTTTCTCTTTGAAAGTCATCACATAACGGCATTGTAATACACGGTTCAGCTGCATTACATATTACAGATCTGCCGTAGTTCTTTATTTATAGAGCCCTGATGAGAAGAGCTTTGGAAGAACTGGAAGAAATGCCACCGAAACTGAATACTTGACGTGGATCATAAATATATCAACAATTAAACAACATCTTCAATTTCTCTTCACACAATACGTCTTCTCGCAGCATCAACACTAATTCGGCTGACTTTTACATTTGATCTAATTCGTAGATAGGTTATATTTAAACCATAATGATATAAAAGGACTTGTAGTTTTTAAAGATATTACTGATTTTCTTTTAATATAAGAATGTAAATACTGAGTCTGAAATAGTATAGCAATATGCTGTAAAATTATGTGAAAACATGAATAAAACTACACATCTTCAGATGTTGTACATACATAAGTGTCCTACACTAATAATACAAAGTTATTATGACTGTGTGTACCTTGTGTGCACCGCCTAGTGGTTAAAGCACGCTATTGAATTATTGTTTTTATGTGTTATATTTGATNATTAACTACATAAAAACCTCAAAAAGCACATGTGAGCATATACATTGGCAATCCATTGTGCCTATGCCAGCATGACTATATGATGTGTATTCATGTGTGTGTGTTTTTGTGTCTAAGGTGAAGTTCACCAGTGCAGTGAAAATGTCTGAAAGCGGTGCAGTTGGGCCGGAGTTCGCCAGGGACGAGGAGGAGAATTTCTTCAAGCGGCTCGGTAAATGGAGGTCTGGCAGGAGGAATCCATCCAAGCTTCACCACACAGAAGAGAAAGATGGTAGACCTCCCCCACCCCGGGGTGCCCCCCTTGCCCACCCACGCCCCATCGTTCTTATTGTCTATTTCTCTCTCTCTTTCTGCCCCTGCCTCTGTATGTCCGTGTGGTGTCGTGTCTTGTCCCGCAAGTGGTGGTCTGCCAGTTCCTCCGTCCGCCATCCTCCATGTCAGCTCGACCAGATAGCTGCCTGCTACATTCTGTTAGCCTGAATGTATTATACTCAACCCATCAGTGTGTCGTTTGTAAGAAATACACCTTTTAGGACTGATTGGCATAACTACGGAAGCCCCGTGAGGCAAAATGTGATCCATTTTCTAAGTCTGATCAAAACAATTTCTCCCCTGGGTTTATGACCTGACGAAATATTTTAAGTAATAACTCATTTTTAAGTCATAAACACAGAAGAGAGACAAATAAATAATTTGTCTCTGAAGGCTTCCGTACTAAACTGTGTTAGACCTCCAAATCTACATTCCCTTCTTTACAACTATGCACGACCTGTTCTCCCCACCAGTGACCCCCCCCCCTCCTCTTTCTTTCGCTTGGGAGGAGAGGAAAGGAGGTGTGTGGGAATAACTCATATCTCTGAAACCATCTTTCTACTGTAGAGTAGTGCTAAATCAAGCATGTCGGTGCTCTCTCCATCTCTTCTGTGGTGACGTCTGGTGGTATTTTCCAAAGCCTGATTTTCAGTGATAAAAACAAAATGGTCCACATACAGCTTTCCTCTGTGCGGCTATGGTTACACCTGTCGTTTCGATGTGAAAAATATATATTTTATAAATCTGAATTCTGCTTTTTTTTCATATTTACTCTCCACATAATCGTTTTTTGTCAATTGAAATCAAGTGTAACCACTGCTGATGGCTGTGTGTCCATCTCTCACTCAGCTCCATTTGTTGGTGGCTTTTCAATGCTTTTTGTTAAATGTCCTGGATGGTGATGTTGCTTCATGCAATGTCTTAAGTGTAATATTCATTGCAGTCTTTAAAAAACGATTACACCCAAATATTGCTTGTTTCTTAAAATAATACTTCACTTGTCCTGTTGTACTTTCTCTATTCTCTTATTCATTCTCCCTTCAGGACCCCACGGTTTTCAGGAGCGCCTAGCAGCCAGTCAGGAGGCGATGAAGAACAAGAACGTGGTGAATTTAGGTGCCATTCGACAGGGAATGAAACGCTTCCAGTTCCTGCTTAACTGCTGCGAGCCGGGAACCATACCGGACGCCTCTATCCTCGCTGCTGCTCTGGACTTGGTATGTTTTTAGGGGCTGTGTCCGCGGAGCCAGAAAAATGCACTGTCAGGGAGTTTCATCCATTTATTGTTTCTGTGAGAACGACATCTCGACAACGTATCACCTCATGTTGTAAGATACTCTAGCTTGAGCTACTATGAGCACAAACCGCAACTCACACTTTGATTTACAGCTCAGTCCGGCAGCCGTATAGCAAGGGCAGGTTCCACCCAACTCCACCAAACAGGCTTGTTGGTCTGTATTATGAAGTTCCCGGCCAAAAACAAGATTATTTTCAGACACTATTAAGTAATTTCAACTCGAAACATTCAGAGCTGACGCACAAAAAGGGTGGAGCGCTCAGAAAATAGATGCTGGGTGCAGCGTTTTTTCTCATGGTGGCCACATGTGACTAAGAGAACAATTAAAAAAAAAAAAAAGACTGTTATGTTGACATGCACCCCCATAATTAACTTGATGATATTTTAATCTCTATCTTCTTCCAGGAAGCTCCAGTTGTGGCCCGGGCCTCCCTTTTCCTTGAATGCGCCCGATTTGTCCACCGCTGTAACCGTGGCAACTGGCCTGAGTGGATGAAGGGTCACCACGTGAACATCACCAAGAGAGGGCTGTCCAGGGGCCGATCGCCTATAGTGGGTAACAAAAGAAATCAGAAACTCCAGTGGAACGCCGCCAAGCAATTCTGCCAGTGGGGAGACGTGAGTTAAAGATATGAATTATCCAAGGGGGCTATTTATAATAATGGCTTCATTGGTAGTAAGAATGATTGTCTCTCTGTGTTTTATCCGCTCAGGCTATCGGCACCAGGCTCAGTGAACTCTGTCACTCTGACAGCGAGAGCCCTGCTAACATCCTGGGCTACATTTTCGATGAAGAGACCAAACGGAGAATGAGAAAAGAAGACGAGGAAGAGGACTATTTAGATGACAGTGAGTCAGAAATTGAACGCGTCTTTGGTGTTTTGTTTTCAGAATGAATCATGTTTTTACCGTTACATTCAGTCAGCTTTATCGAAATCTATTCATTTGTACACCTGTCTAACAAATCCTTAACTCGAGGTCTACTTATGTGCCTTTGTTGTTGCTTTCAACCACATTTCATTGTCTCCCTCAGCAGATCATGTTCAGCTCAGTTGTCATTATGTAAAGTCTAATCAAAGATGACCAAGATTTGCAGTTAAATCTGCAGACAGAAGCTAGTTAGCAGTAAATATTCTAACCATATTGTTTTATCTTTAAGACACAGTCAATCCAACGAAATGCGGCTGCCCCTTTGCTCTAAAGATGGCCGCCTGCCAGCTGTTGTTGGAAATCACCACCTTCCTGCGGGAGACCTTTCCCTGCTTACCACGCCCACGCACTGAACCTCTCGTGGTCAGTCTTCATATGATAAATATATGCATCCAATGTGTATCTTCTGTTTTATTATAATTGTGAAAATAAAATAAATGGAAATAAACAATTTAGAGGGAAGTTTATGATTGTAAAATTGTATAATGAAGTAAAAACATGCAATTTTTACTGAAAAAACTCAATATTTTCTCACGTGTTGGCTTGTAGGATCTGGACAGCTGCCGCTTGCGTCTGGACCCTGACCTCGGACGCCAACGCTACGAGAGGAAGATCAGCTTTGCAGGTATCCTTGACGACGAGGACGGCCACGATTCGCTCAACAGCAGCAGCCACACGCTGAAGTCCGACACCGCCTGCGACGAGAAGAAGCCGCAGGAAGTTCAAGGTGAGGTCCGGTGTCGTACAGACCGGGCCATTTGGTTTATCGCTGCCCTGTGTGCTCATCATTATATATAATTCAGATAATCTCGCCCCGCTCCCCTCTCCCCCAGCACCGACCCGTAAGATTCGCATCGGAGGCTCCCGGCTGCTTCAGATCAAAGGAGCGCGCAGTTTCCGGATAAAGAAAGGCGGCTCCTTGTCGTCCATACGCCGGGCCGGGAGCCTCAAGAGCACCAAGATGCCCCGTCAGGACTCTGAGTCAGAGAACGATGACGGGCTGCTGTCACAAACACAAAGCAGGGACACTGTTACTGACATAGGTAAGACATGGACAAAACTCCATTCAGGATGACAGTATTCTTTAGTCTTATTTGCCATTCTCATCTGTAATTGTATTTATTTGTTGTATCTAAATTGTTTTCTATAATTCTAATAATTTTTCAAAGCTAATTATTATTTTTTTTTTCTTCTATGAAAACAGGTAAAAAAAACTAATGTTATTAGATGAAATGTGTAAACCCTGTTCTAAATAAGACTACGTATTTTCAAAATGACATTACATTTCTCAATGCACAAAAAAGTATCCTGCCATTATTTTCATGAATTAAAAACAAATATATATTTTTTTAATCTGCAAAGAAAGAAATACCTCTGTAGGAGCCATATGTTAAAATGTACAATTTGATATATTATGTGTGTATTTAGATATATTTGAACATTGTAATCCTTTGTTATTAGTATTACTATATCATTTATTTAAACCAGCCGTCGTAAAATTGACATCATAGCCGACTGCAGCTGCTGGTAATTAGAAGTGAGAAGGAGAAAAGAATCAAGGAGCAATATCGTTTTTTTTGTGCTTGAACTGATATATTTTGTTCAAGTAAAGAGTCAACCAAACGTATTTTTGTTTGAGTCAAGCTTATTACTACTTGTGGATAAATTTTTGGATTAGACGGAACTACAACCCCATTATTTGACAGATTGAAAGTAATTTAACAAAAATGCAATCATCCGTTTGTTTCCTGTTGCAGGCAGTCCCTTTAGCACCAGCGAACCCAGCATAGAACCAGAGGGCCAAGGCTCAGGAGGAGGAGAGGACAACTACCACCGCAACATGTCCTGGCTCCACGTATGTCCCCTTAACATGCATGCTTTTATCGGTGTCTCCTTTCTAACCCACTAACTCCCCCACTCCTCTATTCTTCCGGCACAGATTATGATCCTGCTGTGCAACCAGCAGAGCTTCATCTGCACCCACATAGACTTCTGCCACCCCCGCTGCTACCAGCACCACAGCCGCTCCTGCGCCCGTCTGGTGCGCGCCATCAAGCTGGTGTACGGCGAGACGGTGGACAGCCTGAGAGAGGACAGCGCCTCCTCCGGTAACATCGGGCAACGTGCCAAGAAGACCAAAGAGGTGGGATCCACAAACCCATCCGTCCGGTTGTCTGTTGTGTTTGTGGTGGTTTATGAACGTTTTTGTGCTTTTCAGTGTTCAGACAAGTCTTGCCTGAGGACCCCGTCCATGAAGAGGAGACCCACCGACTCCAACACAGAAGGGAAGAAGGACACTGGCATGCTCAAGTACATCCGCAACCAGGTGAAGCAGATAAGTATCCACATCAAGTCTGGAGGAAGTTATAGTTAGCTTTCCTTTCTTTTGCCCAGCTTTTCAGATATCCAGAGTATTATGGAGACTGGCAATCCCTTGACCTTTGCTCTAAAATCACATCAGCAATTTCAAATTAAACATCCCAATAAGTATGACTTGGTGAAATTTTTTATTTCTGTCTATTGTTCTTTTAAACATATTTAAGGAGGATATATCCTATCCTCCTTATCCTATCACGTACAATGTGTTTGAGCGCTAGCTAATTGAAGCGCTAGTATAACTTACTGATGACATTCTGTTACGGAAGTAAACAAAGGGGTCCAATGGAGGTGTTTTAGGCGGGGAGGGGTACAAAAAGCTATATAACCCACTACAGGAAAAGGAAAACCCCAAAAAGCATAATAGGGCCTCTTTAAATGTGGTGTATGCCAATAGAATACAATCACCCTCATTGTATCGAGGTCTCCCAATGTGGTCAAATGTATTTATTTATTGAATATACAACTAGGGTCAAGTGAAACAATGGTATAGTCAAGGTAAACTGACCCATAACATATATCAGCGTTAGTGGGGGGTATCTTACTTACTATTCATTTGGAGTGAGTTCTGATACAAGTGAAATCAACCAAACTGCTGTTTACAAGATTTTCCTAATTTCTGCGTTGTGTGTCTCTCAGGTGATGAGCCTGTCTCCAGCTCCTCTGTCGCTGCTGATCAAAGCTGCTCCCATCTTGACCGACGACATGTACGGAGACATCCAGCCCGCCGCCTGGGAGCTGCTGCTCAGTGTGGACGAGCATATGGCAGCGGCTGCTGGTGAGTCGGCCATCATGCTCTGCATCAGTGATCTGTGTGTGTGTCCTCTGTAGGATGTAGATGTCCTTGATTTTGTGATATGAAGTACTTTATTTCATTATACTTAAGTTATGTTCTGTAATACATTTTCTCCTAGATATTCATATCTTAACTGATTTTTATGGTAATATATATGTATTTCAACTGTTATTTAGAAATGTTGTTTTTATTTGCACATCTGTATTTTCATTTCCTCTGTTAATATAAATAATATTTATTAATTATTTAATATTTTCTATTTATATAAACTAATTAATTTCCATTTATTTTCAGATGTTATATTTATTTAGTAAAATTTGTTTTATTACATACTCAAATGGAGCGGTCATAAAAACCCAATCCCCCTCTGGATTATTAAAATGTTATAATTCAGATTTTACACGTTTATCACTTTTGACATCCTTCCTTTTGGCTCTAACCCTCTCTTTCTTTCTTGCCCTTTTTCTTGTCCTCTAACTTGCCCTTTTCACAAAATGTGGCTTGTTTATTTCATCCCTCCATTTTCCCCCCCTCTTCCTGCCTCTCTGAATCCCCTCCAGCTGCCATGTTCCTCCTGTGCGCCGTAAAGGTCCCCGACGCGGTGACCGAAATGATGATGGCGGAGTTCCAGCACGCGGAGGCCTGCCAGCGCATCAACTCCATCCTGAAGTTTAACACACTGTGGCGCTTCCGCTACCAGGTGTGGCCTCGCATGGAGGAGGGGGCACAGCAGATCTTTAAGGTACAGAAAATAATGATTTCCAATTTTCCTGTTCGGGTTATCGTCTCGAAAAGCTATACTATTTTAACCTATTTGTTATAATGCATATCTTTTTCTTACAGATCCCTCCACCCAGCATCAACTTCACTCTGCCATCTCCTATACTGGGCATGCCCTGTGTTCCCATATTTGACCCCCCCTGGGTGCCCCAGAACACAGGCAACGTCCAGGACCCCATCAATGAAGACCAGTCCGTAAGTGTCAGCCCCTGTTCAAGTGCCCCTGTTAGAAGACATTTAAAAATGGCTTTATTATTTTAAGTAGTAGTGGTGTTAACATGTACGCACCTACTTTTGAATCAGTTTCAGTTGTACCATACACATGTTGTTAATCACACTGACTTTAAAGTGCACAAATGGATGTGACATCACAAACAAACTGACTTGGGTTGGGTAATTTAAAGTGTTCACCCAAAACAAACATTGTATCACTTTTCGTAGAGGTATCTAGCCAAGCAAATGCTTTTTTTCCTTAAACTATGCCCGGCAAGACACATTGCTTTCATTTTTTTAATTTTTTTTTATTTAGAGCCAAATTGATATTGGCGATTTTCCGAATTTGGCTCTTGAATCACATCATTTAAATTAAATGGTCAAAAATGTGAACCTAATTATGGTTAAATCTTTAATTAGTCCAATATAATGGGATGGAGGCACACATCTTACAGTCACTTTCTCATAATGTTTCCTCGATATTAGCTTGGTTCGAAACAATTGGTGTAAATAAGAAATATGTTTTTTAGTTTTTTTTATAGTTGAGGTGAACTGACCCTTTTAAATCATTTATCTGTAAAGCAAAACATATCCGTTTTGAATAGGGGGTATCTTATTTTGCTACTCATTTTGGATCGAGTCCTGCTTTAGCACATACAATTCCCTTTAGGCTGCTTTTGAACACATGTGTTATTGCTATGCAAGTGTAATGTGGACAACTGCACCAAGAAATCTGCTAAATCAATCAAGGCCAATACATGTAACACATTTACAAGTCATAGTTAAACAGATTTCTTGGTGTTACCTTTTACTTTCTTGTCTTTTTTTTCTGTTACAAAGCATGATCAAAACATGTTGAATAGATTCTGATGACGACCTGCGAGCACCTGATCTATAATTTACCTATCGCCTGTCTTTGTTTTTAGTACTCCACATTAATTCAGTCAGTCCATACCATAGTAAGTTGGTATTTATGTCCGGATGTTTGTGCTGATGCATCTTGTTACCCCAGATCATTAATGACAGGAGGGGAATTCTTCTCCATTTGGGTGTTTTTCTGTAGGTTTTCATCACGGATCAGAAGCGGGGGGCAGTTTCATGGGTTCATTTCAGATAGTTGCATCTTGATCAGTGACACACCACTTTAAAAAAAAAGTTCTGATCGTTATAAAAAAAAAAGTCAAAATAACAGCATGCATCAGACATTCAGGCATTTTGTATGTGTCGTGCTGTTGATGCATGGTCATTGGATGAGAATGACTTTGCTGTGTATGTTTCCCATATCATGCGTTCAGCCTATTTGGATATGTATGTGTATGAGCGATATGAGTACATTTACTGTACACAAGATACAGTCAATTCTCCAAATTCCAGTCTGATTACATTTATCTGTGTCACAATTTGCCACGATTGAAAACGTTCCTATTCTATACTCTGTTCCTCGTGATGCTGGAGGAGAGTTACTGTATTATTGTGTTGTCCGGTCATGATACATTACACAATGCTCCTCAGATGTAAGCGTGAGCCCTAGAATCGCTGTGCACACACGTCCCTGAGAGATCAGAACTGTCTATTATTGTATTAATATGTGCACTCCCTCATTCTGATCTGCATGTCCGCTGTTCTGCCTCCGTGCCCTCTGACTCTCCCTGCCGACCCCATTCCAGAAATCCTTCTCGGCGCGGGCCGTGTCGCGCTCCCACCAGCGGGCCGAGCACATCCTGAGGAACCTGCAGCAGGAGGAGGAGAAGCGACGCCTGGGCCGCGAGGCCAGCATCATCACCGCCATCCCCGTGGCTCAGGAGGCCTGCTACGAGCCCACGTGCAGCCCCCCGCCCGAGCAGGAGGAAGAAGGTGGGTGTGATGGAATGGTCTGCAAAGGAAGGACAGACTCCTCCTCTCCTGGTCTGAAACGCCTCCATTGGACTCCTTTGGCTACTTCCGTAACATATTGACTATGTAACACTTCTATTGGCTAGCACTCCAACACATTGTACAGGATAGGATAAGGGGGTGGGACATCTCTAAGTGGCTGACCAATCACAACAGAGCTGGCCAGCTAACCAATCAGAGCAGACTGGGCTATGGGTTCTAGCCTTTTTGAAAATGAAACCATGAAACCATGTCACAGTGCTGGCACACATTTTAAACATGAACCTGAAAAGGAACATTATATATCCTCTTTAGAACATAGACGTTTCATGACTTGTTGTCTTCATAGCGAGAGAGTGCTTTGTTTACGACTGTGATTAATAGGACAATATTGCTGCCGCCTGTGAACCTCATACTGCTGTTCCTATTTTCCACATGTGACCTACTTAACTGATTCTTAATATGAAAAGGACAGTCTCAACATATGTGAAAAGGTCTTGTGTTTAAATATTCATTTATGTATATTATAATAATAATTAGGTCAACATTTACTCAACGTTGGGGGGCTCACAACAGATATCACACAGCTCGGTCTCCTTATAGCACGTTTTGCTTCCCCTGTTTCTGTGCCGGTCATGTTGGGCGTTGATCCCGCCAGCAGAAGAAGTGGTGAACCTGGCGTCTCGTCGTCTGTCCGTCAGCCCGTCCTGCGCCTCCAGCAACTCACACAGGAACTACTCCTTCCGCCGGGGTTCTGTGTGGTCTGTCCGCTCGGTGGCCAGCGCTGAAGGTATGAACATAAACATTAAAGACTACTTTCAATTGGCCAAAGGTGGACTTTAAATACATTACATTTGTTTCCCCAGAAGAACAGAACACAACAGAACACACTCCTACTCACCACATGCTACAGCCGCCCCAAGCTGTCTTCCCAGCATGCATCTGTGCTGCGGTCTTGCCCATAGTGCACCTCATGGAGGACGGAGAGGTGCGAGAGGATGGTGTGGCCGGTAGGTGTCATTGTACAATAAAGCTCTTGGTATTTCAGTTCAAGGTTGAAATAAAAGAGTATGTCATTTGCTTTCAACATTATTTTAGATGTTTGACTTATTTGAGGGTGTCGCATGTACAAATATGTGTCTTTAGTGAGTGCTGTTGCCCAACAAATCCTGTGGAACTGCCTGATTGAAGATCCTGCCCTGGTTCTCCGTCACTTCCTGGAAAAACTGACAGTGAGCAACAGACAGGTGGGTAAACTAACACCGCTTCCCTTCTGATTGAGTCTTTCCTGTAGTAACACTGAGAATATGTGCACAAGAGGCTTAACGTGGGAAATGTGACTTATTCTTTGTGTTGTAATGTCAGGATGAGCTGATGTACATGCTGAGGAAGCTCCTGCTCAACATAGGAGATCTCCCAGCCCAGACTTCTCATATCCTCTTCAACTACCTGGTGAAACTACACTTAATACGGTTATTTGTTTATTTCCCTTCAGGACTCTTTAGACTCTCAGCTAACAATCCCTTCTCTCCTAGGTGGGACTCATCATGTACTTTGTGCGGACTCCGTGTGAGTGGGGAATGGACGCCATCTCGGCCACGCTGACCTTCCTGTGGGAGGTGGTGGGCTTTGTGGAGGGGCTCTTCTTCAAGGACCTCAAGCAAACCATGAAGAAGGAGCAGTGTGAGGTCAAGCTGCTGGTCACCGCATCCATGCCAGGTGATCTTACTCTGAAAATCATTTTAGATCCCATAGAGACCCCTAGTGGCACAACAGGAGATATCATGCGTTCTTTCAAACCTGGATGAGCTCAATTCAATGTGAAATGTATGTTCTTGTGCATTGTTAATACAGGAACCAAAACACTGGTGGTGCACGGTCAGAACGAGTGTGATATCCCAACACAGCTTCCAGTGCATGAAGACACTCAGTTTGAAGCTCTGCTCAAGGTAAGGACACCAGTGATGGAGATACTCTGAAGTACAGCATTACAAAAAAAAACTTTTATTACAGGAAATAGCAGCCTTGCAGAGATACAGTAATATCAGGACGTTTGGCTTTAAGTGTCAAAATAAAATCTTTCATTCTGCAGGAAAAATATCCCTGTGAGTAATATATAATTAGATATTTGTTGTTATAGTGCAGCAATGAGAAAGCACTGGTTTAATTTTCAACTTAGCATTGTATTTGTCAAGCTTCTTATTTGTTTACAATTGGAGAACCTGAAAATTAGTTCAGTTAATAATTTTCCTTTTTAATGTTGTGAAGTAGAAGAACCTCAAATGTATATTATGGTAAAGTACTTATTTTTATACTTACTGTTCATAAAATATGCATTTTTTTCTCCCTCCCCCCAAAAAAACAGGAGTGCCTGGAATTCTTCAACATTCCCGAAGCCAGATCAGCACATTACTTCCTCATGGACAAACGATGGAACCTCATCCATTATAGCAAGGTAGTCATATTATGTTTATGTTCCTAATGATACAATATAAGTATCGACATGCTTCATCTTGATACACAACATTAGCAGCTTGGTTTGACTTGCTCTTGTTGCTTTCTGGCTATATTTGATCATATCATGTCCACAATAAAGTTGTTTTCGATGTCTTCCTCCTCCAGACATATGTTAGGGACATCTACCCCTTCCGGAGGTCAGTGTCTCCCCAGCTCAACCTGGTCCACATGCTGCCCGAGAAAGGACAGGAGCTCATCCAGAAACAGGTGTGCAAGATTTCAAATTTGACAATTAAGCATCTCTAGGGCCTAGAAACATTGAAAACACAGTGGTCAACAACTCACACATGAATCATGTATTGACTACAATATCAAGGTCCAAAGATATCCTTAATCTTTATTTTATTGTAGCTTGGTACATTTACATCCTTATGTATACATATCAATATCAGTGGGAAATAAAACGCAAACAAATAACATTTGTATGAAATAGAGAAGTCACATTGTTTTACTAGTATCGACTGAAACTATACTGAAAGGTCATAGTGTCCACTTTTCCTCATCGGTTTCCTTTTGATTTCCTATCCCAGGTGTTTTCCCGTAAACTAGAGGAAGTCGGTCGTGTCCTCTTCCTCATCTCCCTCACACAACACATGCCCGCCGTGCACAAGCAGTCCCACGTGTCCCTGCTGCAGGAAGACCTCCTCCGCCTACCATCTTTCCCTCGAACCGCCATCGATGCCGAGTTCTCGCTGGTCAATGAGCCACAAGGTGAGACACACTCTAATTTGAATAATAACACTTATTCTATTTGATACACTAACATCACTCTCTATCCCAGGTAAGGAGCTGTTTGGATTGGACACCCTCCACAAGGTGCTGTGGATCAAGCTGCTGGAGGAGATGTTTCTGGGCATGCCCAGTGAGTACCCGTGGGGCGACGAGATGATGCTCTTCCTCAACGTCTTCAACGGGGCTCTGCTGCTGCACCCGGAGGACAGCGCCCTCATCAGGCAGTACACCGCCACTGCCATCAACACCGCCGTCCACTTCAACCACCTGTTCTCCCTCAGCGGCTACCAGTGGATCCTGCCCACCATGCTGCAGGTACCATACACAGATTATTATTATAAGACATTTATTTAATAGGATATAACATATTTGTATAATTTACATTGCCTATAAATTGGTGATTGGCAAGGAAACAAAAATACACAGAGACACACTTTATTTTGTATTCACATTATAATTTAAGTGGAATTAGAGCTTTTTTTTGCATTTGTGTTTATTAAAAAAGGTAATATTTAATTGTATATTAACTGTTATAACATCCACCCTTTTAAGACAAAAGGGTTTTCTCGTATTAAATCACCAAGTGTTATTGTCTTTGATGCAGCCTAGTGTGATAACCTACCTTTCTCAAAATGTGTCCTTTTTATGAAAGGTCTACGCTGACTATGAGAGCGACCCGTTACTGAGGCAAGGCATCGAGTTCTGCTGCCAGCAGTTCTACATCCTCCACCGCAAACCCTTCATCATGCAGCTGTTCGCCAGCGTGGCTCCATTGCTGGAATTCACAGTAAGTGCTTTTTGCATCGGAAATACACATCGTTCCTACACAAGCCTGGACACCTGAAATGTGTGACATGTCTCTGTCTTCCATCCCAGACCAGCACCAGTACCGGCCTGTCTAAAGGAGTGTCAGCTCAGTGTCTGTTTGACCTGCTGATCTCTCTGGAGGGGGAAACTAAGGACGCACTAGACGCTTTGGAGTTGGTGAAGGCTGAGAAACCTCTACGCTCTCTAGGTACGTAACATCATTTTGTGTTTTATTTAGGATACTTCTGGCAAAGACATTGTATTATTCATGCTCTGGTTAATTTTGAGAGTATAGACTATTTTGCATCAGTTAGGAAAATGTAGGTGTTGTTTATTTTTGCTAACTTTGCTTTGTTGTTGCAGATTTTTGCTATGGTAATGAAGACTTGGCCTTCTCCATCAGCGAGGCCATCAAGCTGTGTGTCACCGTGGTGGCCTACGCCCCTGAATCCTTCCGGAGGTGTGGAAAACATATCGCAGAGGCCTCGACAATTCTTCATATCTTCTCTCGTCAGCTTTTCGTCTAATGGTCTGAATGTATCTTTCCAGTCTGCAGATGCTGATGGTGCTGGAGGCTCTGGTGCCTTGCCACCTGCAGAAGCTGAAGAGCAACACGGTCACGATGGAGTCCGCCTCAGCCGCCAGAGATGAGATTGCAGCAATCGCTGCTCTGGCCACATCGCTGCAGGCCCTCCTCTACAGCTCAGAGACCCTCACTAGGTCTGTCATTGAAACATGTCAGGATCTTAACAGCTGAGAGCCTGTTGTATTTGTGCATACGGTGCTTACAATCCTCATTACATATCACACCTCGTCCACAGGCCCATGACGGCACCCCAGCTGTCCCGCTGTGATCAGGGCCATAAAGGAGGCACCACAGCGAACCACGCCATGTCCGGAGGGCTCAACACCAGGTCAGGACTTAACAGAAACCATTGTAGGACATGATTCTCCTTTTGACATTCACAGTCAATATAAATGGGTATACAAGTAATAAAATACAGTACATTCCCATTGCCAGGACTAATTCTAAAAGAGTAAGAGAGTGTAAAACATAATTTCTGCCGTATTTAATGCAGGTTAGTCTGTTGCTGTTTGATTGTAAAGGGATAGCTTTAAAGAAGCCTTATCAAAGCTGTAAACATACACAGGGCAAATGGTAAAGGGGCAAAACATAACTGAACACGCTTATAGTAGTTTGGCTTCATACTGTCAATAAGGGTGAAAGAAAATAAGTATAAAATAAATAAATATGTAATTCTATTTAATATTATAACAAAATAAGGTGTCAGGTTTGTCATTTTGGACCCAATTTCCCTTTTTACTGTATGTCTATGGCTTTAAGGGGCAGTAACATTCTCCATATCCAGTGTCACATCGATCCAGTTATCATTCCTTTTGCTTCTGGGAAGAAATAGCTTAAATATATGTTGAAACTGATGGTCATTTTGTTTCAAAGATCAGAAAGGGATTCACCTTGCCTTGTGTCAGAATAGATGGCTTCAGAGATTGAGGTCCTTTTTGCATGCATGTGCTCAGGGACAACCTCCACCTGTTGGAGGAGGGCCAGGGCATGCCGAGGGAGGAGCTGGACGAGCGCATGGCCAGGGAGGAGTTCCGCCGGCCCCGGGAGTCGCTGCTAAACATCTGCACCGAGTTCTACAAGCACTGCGGCCCCCGACTCAAAATCCTGCAGAACGTCGCCGGTGAGCCACGGGTCACGGCCCTGGAGCTGCTGGACATCAAGTCCCACATGAGGTGATGACATTTACTGCAGCATCAGATTGATTGATCAAAGTGTGAAGGTTGATTTTTATTTCTACTCATTTCTTAAAGGTCTCCTATCATGCTATTTTTAGGCATATATTATGGGTCTCAGATATATACAAATATATAAAAACATGTCTATGATGTGTTTTGTTCAAAATACCAAACAGATAATGCATTTTAGACATCCCTCATACCCCTCTATTCCAGGCCTGTTAGAGAACTGCAGGTTTGGGGTCCTTAGCTATAAAAAAAAAAAAAAAGAGGAGAGCTAATGCCTGCTCAGAATTCTACCGAAGATAAAGCGAATTGCTCCCGTGATTAAATGCCATATCATGTTCCAAACCACATCAAGGATTATTATTATTATTAAATGCTTTTTCTCTTGNGTAAGGTATCTAATTACTTATTTATTTAGTATTCCATAACTTAGTAACAGAGATGGTCAAACTAAAGTGGTAGAGACATGGCAGAAATCCTACAATGAAGCGGGACATTGAACTGTTCACCCGTGAGAGGGCAATCAAAAAGAGAGCGAGTGGCCCGGTTGAGGGAGTTCACAGATGAAAAGACACAGAAGCACAATAACATATATGCTATATTTAGTTGTTTTTTTGTAAATAACCGACGGCATCAAGAGGAAGTAAAGTCCCCTGGTTTGTCCCTTATACCCTAACTGCCATGAGACAATTCAAAATCAAGTTTTCCAAAATCCGACACTGAGGTGGTCTTAACGCACCGGCAGATGACAGCGCTGACAAAGTGTGTTTCCCGCAGCGAGACGCTACAATACTACCGTAATTGTGGGCTTATGTTGATTCGGCCACAACAGAAAAAAGAAAAACAAACTCTCGCTCTCTCCAGAGGGGCAGGTCAGCCAAAAATGCCAAACGGGCCGGGCAACATTAGCCCGTACCTGTGCACGTTCCTGCTTGTTACATTACATTGCATTTAGCTGACGCTTTTATCCAAAGCAACTTACAATAAGTGCATTCGACCAAGAAGATACAAACTTGAAGAAAACAGATTCATATAAGGACATCAGGTTTCATAGAGCCAAACATTTCAAGTAACATAAGCCAGTCCTTTGTTAGTATATAAGTTATTTGTTAGTCATTCTATCGCTCGAAGTGGAGTCGAAAGAGATGAGTTTTCAGTCTGCGCCGGAAGATGTGTAAGCTTTCTGCTGTCCTGATTTCAATGGGGAGCTCACTCCACCATTTTGGAGCCAGGATAGCAAACCCACGTGTTTTTGCTGATGGGAACCTTGTCTGTATATATCTATATTGAATTAGTTACAATAAAACATTTTTAATAGAGTGGTTTATCAGCATCAGTTAACAAAATGTCTCCACCTAAAGGATTTGATACAATTAATATTAGAGTCACATTCAAGTCATTTAAGAAGAAAATCATACATTGTTTTCCTCACTAAATAAAAGTGTCATTTGTGTTTTGGTCTTTTTTAATATTCATAAAAATGTGCTGTTATCTGGGTGCGGGGTGGTGTTGTATGGGTGGGTGTTTTCCAGGAGACAGGTGGAGTGGGAGGCTGCCAGCAACCTGATCGAGGGGATCTGCCTGACCCTGCAGCGACAGCCAATCATCTCCTTCCTGCCTCACCTCCGCTCGCTCATCAACGTCTGCGTCAACCTGGTATTAAACACACTAAAGCCTGCACCAATCCTGCTTTTTAATGCTTTAAGTCTAATTATTCTTCTGTGCTCTCAGGTGATGGGTGTGGTCGGTCCCTCCAGCGTGGCAGACGGGCTTCCTCTCCTCCACCTCAGCCCTTACCTGTCCCCCCCGCTGCCCTTTAGCACAGCCGTGGTGCGACTGGTCGCCCTGCAGATCCAGGTAGCCTCGGTTAGCTTGATTCTACATTGAATTCATCGACAACTAATTGTACATTGTTTTATTCTTGTTCATCTTGTCTCCCCATTAGGCCTTAAAGGAGGACTTTCCTCTCAGTCATGTGATCTCACCTTTCACCAACCAGGAGAGGCGAGAGGGGATGCTGCTCAACCTGCTTATTCCCTTTGTGCTCACTGTGGGCTCTGGAAGCAAAGGTAACTCCAAAAAACACAGGGGCACGGATATGCTATTTGCTTAGCAGTGCAGTTAGGGGGGCAATGTACAGCTTTTTGTTCTAGTAAGCAGTCTAAAATATTGTGTGTTAGAAAAATATCATCCGTCACCGGCTTGAGTTTCAATATCAGGATCCATGTATTTATTATCCTTGCAAGAAAAGGAAGTATTCATCACATACAGAGCATTTGGTACAACTAGTTCCTGAACAGTGTCCTTCACATGCTGATATACAAGAGAGGGAGTTACACAGTCACAAGATGGAGGAATAGAAAGCAGTATTCTTTCAAATAAAAGGTCTTAATTGGTATTCAACTCTCCTCCACCTAAACAAATCAAATGTGGGTCTGTTTCTGTTTGCAGACAGCCCCCACCTGGAGCCGCCGGAGATCTTCCTGCTCCTCCAGACGGTCATCAACATCCTCCTGCCTCCTCGCATCATCTCCACCTCCCGCACCAAGAACTTCATGCTGGACGCCTCCCCGGCCCACTGCTCCACCCCGGGCGACACGGGGAAGGACCTGCGCAGAGAGGGATTAGCAGAGTCCACCAGCCAGGCGGCGTATCTGGGTATGAATGAGTAATGACATCATTCGACCATCCTCCCTGGTTCCTTGTTTTCACCCTGTCCTCTTCCGCAGCTCTGAAGGTGGTGTTGGTTTGCTTTGAGCGGTCGTTGGGGAACCAGTGGTACCGGCTCAGCCTGCAGGTGAAGGAGATGGCTCTGAGGAAGGTGGGCGGCCTGGCATTCTGGGACTTCATCGACTTCATCGTCCGAACCCGCATCCCCATCTTCGTCCTGCTGCGACCCTTCATCCAGTGCAAGGTAAACAACAAGGGAATTTCGGTCATACACCGTTTGAATCCCGAGCAGTTCTAGGATGTTCACTTGCTCCTGACACATTTTACTCAGTTTCCTATTTTTTTGCTACAATATCCAAGTCCAGCACAATCACGGCTAGACCTAGGGAGAGCTCAATTGTGTAATTTTTCCAGTTCAACTAATTTATAATGCCATATATCATAAGAGAAATAACATTTGATTTTGGAAGATTATAATGAAATGATATCGATACATTCAAAACGCTTAGCAGTGCAGAATCAAACAGGTTTACACGATCCAGTTTATAATTGGCAGAATTATTAATAAAACGTGTATATTAAGGTGACTTTGTGGAAATATCACTATTTTAAGATTTGGTCTTTCTCCCGACAGAAGCGTTTGTCACATGTGATGTGTTTAAAGACAATCAAAGTGTTGAAAATGTAATTGTGCGTCCATGCACATTTGCTTGTCCTCTCCTCTCTGTAGGTTGAATTCAAGTTAAAATGACTTATTTGGTGACGTGACTGTGTCGAGTCATTAATGGCCTCACAGTTGCTCGGAGAGAAGTTGAATGGTACACCTTTATGGGAATATAGTTTAAAAAAGATATCACTGGTCTAAGCCTGGATTAGTCCGTCAGATTTACTGCACTTGTATTCTTTTTCCCTAATAGTATTTCTTTCTGGTATGTTCATGTTCCCCTAGTTGTTGACGCAGCCTGCTGACTCCCAGGAGGAGATCACGGCGCGCCACCACATCGCCGACCAGCTGGAGCGGAGATTCATCCCTCGACCTCTCTGCAAGAGCTCGCTGTTCGCTGAGTTCAACAATGAACTCAAGATCCTGAAGGAGGCTGTGCACAGCGGCTCAGGTCAGACACAGTTGGGGAAAAGTGTTTTTATTACTTAATTCCTCATATTGCCATCTTACATTCAAGCATGTGTGTTTGCCTCCACTCTACAGCCTACCAGGGCAAGACCTCCATCAGCACGGTGGGCACCTCTACATCAGCGTACCGCCTCAGTTTGGCCACGATGTCGCGCTCCAACACGGGCACCGGCACAGTGTGGGAGCAGGAGAGCCAGCCGTCACGCCAGCCCTCCCAGGACACACTGAGCCGCACCGACGAGGACGACGAAGAGAGTCAGTCACAATCCAATTATCTTTTTGACATCCGTAGTAAATAGGGTGACCAGGTGTTTAACAAGCAACATGTGGGACAAATAGGATGTTTTTGCGGGACAATGCGGGACATGTTACTGCGTTGCTAAGAGCTAGATTCAATGTATACTGTATATATAATGTCTATCTAACCCTTAAGAAGAACATTTCTATTAATCTATTAGCTTATAAATATTAATAACACGCTTTACTTTGCTTTAATGTTTGCACAAACTATGCAAGTGAAGGAATTCATTATATTTGTTTTGAATGGAATTAACATAACAAATTATTATGACCAGAAAGAAATGACCGGATCTAGCTTACTGCCACAGCCTGCTGACCTGCGTGCTAAACGTTAACTAAATCAGCTGCTGTTACCTCATCTCTTTTGGTGTCAGGAGGAATATATCCATAGATCGATATTTTCTTTATGAGCCAGGCGTTTCTTGAGAGTTTCGGGGAACTTCAAAACATATTCAACTCTGTGCGCAATTTTAAAAAAAATCTGGCAAATCTATCAATAACTCACCCATAAGTTAATACATTTCTCTGTTGATTGATTGACATCTGACACAGCTAATGGTGATAGCCCTCTCGTTTTCTACACGCCTTTGTGTAAAAGCCTTGTTTAAGACGGGCGACTGTCAATCAAATGCGGGACATCGGCTAAATGTGTGGGACAAATGATACAAATATTGTGCAGTCACTGGTCACCCTAGTAGTAAAGCAGAACTCATTGTCGCCATCTTTCTCCCT